CCATCAACAAAGTTCATAATCCACTTATTTTTATGGTCAAAATCATTTATAAACATTCCCCCAACAAATTATTAAACTCTCTCAAAACAGCACTTTGGAGGTTAGCACACTATGTTATTTTATTTATTTATTAACTAATTCACCTTTTTAACGTCTTCTGCGTTCTTCGTCCAATCGAAATCTCACAAACTACTTGGGGAGATTTCATTTTCGCCCATAATCACATATTCTGATTCCCAATTAAAAAATTATACCTCTCAAAAAGTTCTTAATAAATGTGGCACGGATCGGCTTCCTTCATTCTTGACAAACGACGAAACGACACCGTACTAATCCCCGAGACCCGCCCCGCCACGTCATCCGCCTCTCCCATGGCTTCCGAAAATCCTCAACCCCAGCAAAAGCAAAACCCTGACCCTCATATCTCTCTCTATTACCAAACTCGCGCTGCTCACCATGCCGTCGTCACTAGTGACTGGCTGGCTCAGGCTCAAGCCGCTGTTGGCCGTCACCGAGATGATGCCGTTTCAGATAATTCCTCCGCCGGAGGAGAAGAATCTGGAAATGCTTTTAGCGTGATTGATGAGTTCAATAACTGGAGGAAACAGCCGGATTTAGCAGAGGCCGTGGCGGCTATTAGGGCTTTGGCTTCCGTTATTAGGTCAAGCCAAGCCACCACTATGATGGAGCTGGAAATTGAGCTAAAAAAGGCCTCCGATTCTCTCAAAGTACGCGAACTTGTTTTCTTATTTTTCTCTCATTTTATATTACCTTATCCATTCTTATGGATTTCCCTTTTCTAGATTATATTATAGCTATCCCTGTTTAGAAAATAAGATTAGTATTATGGCCGATAGATGCAGTCAATGGATTTGAGTTGGACTCGAGTGAGAACGGCTATAATTTTTTCCAACTTCTGATCAATGTCGGAAAATTTTATTCGAGATGTTAAACTTTGAAGCTGTGGTGTTTATGTAGCCATGCACAATAATGTTTATAAATGCAACTTGAGTGTACTGGTATGTATCCCAAGTCTAGAGGTTATATTACGAGATTCTGCATCGTATCCTGAAGTTCTCTGTCCATGAAAGAGATGTCTTTGTTCTCTGAGGAAATTTATGTTCAATGGGATAATATCCGTCAAATTTATTGACCCTTGCAATTGCATGATATATGAAGATTTTTGCCACATCGTCTAAGAATAATGTAAAAACTCATTATCTTAAGTCTCTATTGCTCCAACTGGCCTTGATTGCCTAGTCAGCCGGTGTTTGACAATCATTATTTCAAAACTCTATATTCTACTTTCTCATTTGCAACCACACATTCACGTAATAAAACATTTTGCACGTAAATCGAAAACTTATCCCCACTCACGTAATAAAACATTTTGCACGTAAATCGAAAACTTATCCCCACTTTTTAACCACACATTCTCCAAAAATTCTTTATTCAGAACTTTGTTTT